TGCACTGGAAGAATTCGGTGGTATAAACTGCACTTAATACCTAAAAAACCAACTATTAAATGATCCCAAAAATTTCAGAATTATCATAGAATATTAAAAACAAGGATTACCGAAAAATCATATCCGCATGTCTTAAGCTTATAAACGAACTCTCTAAACAGAACAAGAAGAATTTTCTTATAACCAAATAAGACTTCTATATATTCAATCCTTTTTTTACATTTTTAATAACCGTACGGTATGGATATTTTGATAGAAGTTTCTGTACCATACGTCTTATATTAATTTAATAACAGCATTTAGTACCCTGTCACATACTATATTTGTATTTCACACTCAACAATTATTTTTAGATTACCGTGTGTTTCACACTTTTATTTCTTTAAAAACTGTATAAAACAAGCAGTGTTAAAATAGTTCATTAAGGCATTATATAGATATTTTAATAACTTCTTTATATCGAAAAGTCTTTTCTAGGGCATGATATTCAACCAATTTCTTTCTATCTTGTAGAATTTAAAAAGAAAAACAATTTTTTTTTAATCTTTCAAAATGATGGCGCTTAGGGTGACAAAATATTTAAAAAACTCAACTTTTAATTAAATTTTTTTTAATTTTTTTGCCTATGATTTAGGAAGTTAATACATGTTCCATGGAAAAAGAACTTAAAACGAATAGGATCATCTCTCAAAGTATTTTGTTTTCCATATTTTTTGTAAAGGATCTGTAAATTAATGGATTGATTTTCCTGCTATATTTTTTTAAAACTATCTTAAGATCAGTGCACAAAACTATTTCGTAGATGGTGTTCCCAGTCCTCCTTGGAGCCCTTTAGCCCCCGCCTTTGAGTAATGCCACCAGCTCTCTTATACTCTGGTAATTGCAATTGTTTTTGTTCGAGTGGCGGGGCATTGGCTGCAGAAACGCGACCACCCGCGTCCCCCACCTACTCTTCCACCGCCACAGCCAACCCCCACCACCACCCACAACAACCCACTGCCACCCACCGCCACCCACACCCCACTAGCCTGCATTGATATCACCCATTGTGCCGGCGGGACGGCTGTTATTATGCAAATGCCATTCACAGGTAATTACCACGCTGCACCGTTATAATTGCACTCGAAGCCCAGCTAGAAATCGCGATTGCAGTTCGCAGTTTTAAGTTTTCAGTTTTTCAGCTTTGCCGTTTCTAGCTTTCTGCCCGCTACTCCCATCCGAAATGGAAAAATGGAAAAACACAGGGGAAAATCGAAACCGCCAACAAGATGTTGTTGCCACTAATTGCAGTAGCTGCTCAGTTGAGACCCTTGGCAGCCCAATCCGCAAATGCGAAATTCGCCTGGCTATTTCGAAACCTCGTTTAAATGGCAGACACAAACTGCCAAGATGGTTGGTATTACAATTTTGCAAAGTACCACGATGGCTCCCTTTTGGTATTACACATTTTTAAAGACCTAAGACTTGAGGTTAGGAAAAACCAATTTCTTTTTCATCATTGCCAATAGAGGTGTACGAATTAAGTAAAAGCTGTGTACATGTATAAAATGGTTCTTCAATTATCAAAGTAAAGTAAGATAATGTAAAAAAATATTTGTTATTGAAATCCCTTCTTTATTTTTAAAGATCTAGGAAAAAAAGGAACACTAAAATAGTTCTTATAAAATGTTTAACGAAATGTAGGAACGTTCAAGCCAATACATAGTTTTCTTCAAATATTATAATACAATGGATGTGGAAAATCATATGTCATTCGCTATAAGACACATAGTATTTTTAATTGTCAGCAATTGAAATTACTATGTCAATCCGAATACTAGTACCAACCGAATATCGTTCACAAGCTATGGTAATAATCATAGTAAATATAACGTGTTTACTCTTCCACATATGTTATAAAACCAATTCTGTTTTTCAGTGACTTGATAAAGAGCGGTCAATTTGAATAAATTGGTCATATTAAGGAGGCTGTTGCAATGGCACCGCCTCAGATGGTTATCTCGGAGACTGACCTGTTACCTGAATGCAGTTTCAGCGGCACCTCATCCTCATCCTCTTCAGAGCGACGATGGGACAATGGGACACTTTTTTTTTGTGCCGCTGACACCTTGAGAACCATCGAGGAGAACTACAACAACAAGAGGCATCTGCATCGGCAGGCAAATTAGAATAACTTAAATACACGGCGGCACGCATTAAGCGGCTGCAGGCGATACCATCTCAAAGAATCGGCTTTACCAGCTCCTCTCGATTTCATCTTCTGTTCTACACATTTCGGTTCGATTTTTCAGGCGAGAAAAAAGAAACCTGCGAATCCTTTTCACTCCACTCGACTCTCGCCCGCTATCAAAAAGTAATAAATCTGCCCCTGATCCATCGTAAATCTTTGCGTTCCCTTCATGATTTACCCACATAAATCAAAATTATCGACCCGGCAGACTGCGGAGAGGAGTCTTTCCTCGATGCCCCAGAGAATCGAGAACTGGAGAATCAAGAACTGGGCCTGTTAACTGCTCAAAAGTGTTAAATGCATTCAATCTGCGAACTTGTCGCGACTGATTGGGCAGTTTGAATTAAGTCCCAGTCCCTTCCCGGGGATCATCTCTCCATTAGCACGTTTGTGGGAATACGAAATACAAATCTTGTGCTCATTATGGCGATTCTTTTTGGTTATTGCATTTAGTGCCTCAATTATCGCCTGCAGATGAGTAGAATTTCCAGCTGTCGGTTCAATCAAACGGATCACCCAGCCAACCACGATAATGCCGCAAGTTGGTATATCTGCTCACGCACCTTTCTCCCGGGAAAATTCGTCACATGCAAAGTGAAATTACCTGGGATGGCTGGCTAATTTCATTTAATTTTCGGTCATTGTCAGCCACTCAGCCAAAAAGAAAGAAAGAAAGAAGTAGAAGAAGCGACCGCTACAATTACAGCATGTTTTCCCCAATTAATAATTAATAATTTGTTTGGGTCACGAAACGCTCAACGGGGCTCTGTGAAATCCACTAGAGGGCAACAGTTTGTAATATTTTTGGGTGAAAGAAGCCAGAAGGAAAGGCGACCTGACCCGCCTCCAGACGTAACAATCCGGCTGACTGAGACGGTTAATTGCTGTCACAAAAGACGAGGTCGAGATGGAGTTCGGAATCGGAATTGGAAGTGGAGTTGGCTGTGAATTTGGAATCGAAATTGGAGGTGAACTGCAGGTGAAAATCTTTTGTGGCCAAGACAAAGGCGTAGACCCACCTGGAGAAACACGCAAGGCCAGTCAGAGGTGCAGAACACATTTTGTGTGCGAGCTCCGTTTCCTTCCTGTCGTGGAACCTCATCTTCATGATCCACCACCCGACATGGTTGATTCATCCGTCAGTTGGCTGACATCGAATCTGAGGGATTTCCTTCTTGGCCAGATTTCGATGCTCCTGCTCCGTCATCTGTTGCTGTCTGGAAAAACACATTTGAAATATAAAATCCATATTGCCATTTAATTACAACAGTTTAAGTCATACATAGAAACGCACAATTGGTTTCATAGTATCAAACATTACAGTTTTATGTGGTTTTTTGAGTAGTTGGGTCTACATCCGGTCTTGGCCTAGGAAAATCTATGGAATACTTCAGCTGATTATATCAAATCCACGGTCTTTACATAATTTTCATGTTTTGTTAGGACTTAACATTTTTTTCTCAATTTTATGAGTTCATATAATATTCTCTAAAAGATCCAGAAGCTAGTTTAAGTAATAATTGAAGTATATTTTTTTCTCGGCTAGTTCTTTTAAATATTATCTGCATTTAGTCCATTCTATGGTATGGTACTGTAGGAAAAAATATTCAAGAGAAAGCGTGTGGTATTGTAATTTTTTCCCTGTGTAAACTAAGAATATCCCCCCTTTTTAGCTGGTATTGCTCTAATTCAGCCTCAATTTGTGCCCTGCGCATAGCCATAAATTAATTGATGCCCTGGCCAACTAGCTGAGTGATAACCATCGCCTGCCGCCCCGAACCCACTCCCTTTGGTCCAGATCCTGTTCCAAGATCGCATTCCCATTCCCCGTGCATTTAGGCTTCGGGGAAAACTCTGACCAGCTTCCCTGATTCTGATTCTGCGGCCAATAGAGACATCACCATCGGCGTTAACCCATCGCAGCCCCCTGTCCCCAGCCTGGGTCCCTTTACCCACTCTCGGGACCACTTGAATTATGTGTGTCTCGGGCTGTGAATGAAGCGATGTGCGACCAGGATTGGCTAATGTACTGGATTCGGGCTGGGGCTGTGGCTGTGGATGTGGATGTCGATGTGGCTGTGCCCGCTCCGTGGCTGCCACTGCCCACTCAGTCCGCCGATCGCGTCCCGCCCCTCCGTATCATCAAAATTGTCGTTGGCTCGCAGTTAAATTAAGTCATAAATTCAGTATTTATCTGCTGAATGTAGTTTGTTGTCCGGTCATCACTTCAGCGTCAGCCTTTGTCGCCGCTGCCCGGCCCAGCCGGTCGTCCCTCGAACAGTGGGTGAGATCGGGATTCGATTGGTAATCAATTGCCCTCTAGGGACTTCTTTAAAATTCAATTTAAAGACAACTCTGTGGTTTTAGATAAGTAAACACTGGGTATTCCAGTTCAATAGACAATTTCAACTATTGAGGAAACAACCCTAAATGGTTCCTGTTGAATTTTCACACAGCTGTGATCAGTTGTATAATTTTTCGGTAGTAAAAACAAATAATATTTCATTTTTCATCGTAAGTTAAAGTCTAAATTTATAATTAAGTAAGAAAAACTTGGAATGTACTTTCTAAAGTAATTTTAAAATAAATAATGCTTACTGGTGATACTAAAATTACAGTGTTACCATGGCTTTTGAAATAAGGTGACAACTCTAGTTTTCAGCAGTTCAACAACCTTCGAAGAAATAGTTTAATGTCCCTTCTATCTTCTATTAAGTCTAAAATAAATCGAAAAGTCGTTTTGCCAAGTCAAAGTAACCGTAGACATTTCTGTTCAATAAGTTTGACCCTTCGGATCATATTGTACAAAATATTTTCAAGGTATTTTATAAAAGTTAAGTTTTTTTGTTCAAAGCCACTAATAAAAAAACCCTGCAGGACCATGGGAAAAGACTTCTACAAGATACTGCGGGTCTGTCGTGGAGCCACTCCCTATGAAATCTGTAAGGCGTACCGTAAGCTGGCGCAGCGCTACCATCCGCACAAGAGCAAGCACTCCCATGCCGCTAGGCGCTTCCAGCAGGTGGCCGAGGCCTTCGAGGTCCTCTCGGACAGGAAGAAGCGCAACCAGTACAACGACCTGGGCGAGAGGGGTCTCCGGCTCGAAGGCGTCTCCGGATACCAGATCCACAGTGACCCGCACGCCACCTTCGCTCAGTTCTTCGGCACCAACGACGTTTTTGCCATTGGATCAGGATCAGGGAGTGCCCGTCGCCCAAAGAATCAGGCGATAGAACAAGAGCTTCTTGTGTCACTGGAGGAAATAGCCAAGGGGTGTACTAAGCGCATTAAGATCTCGCAACAGAAGATCTCGGCCATCGGCCGGGCAGTTCAATATGAGAAGGCATTCATCGTCGAGATCCTTCCGGGCTGGAGGGCCGGCACCAGGATCACCTTTCCCGACCAGGGCGACAAGGTGCTCAACCGTGCACCCGGCGACGTGGTGTTCGTCCTTCGGGAAAAACCACACCAGTACTTCCGCCGAGAGGGAAGGCATCTACGATACACTGCCCGTATCTCGCTGAAGAATGCGCTGTGCGGTGGCAACGTGGAAATTCCCTCGCTTCTGGGTAAGCCGGTGCTACTCTGCATCCAAGATGAGGTGCTTAATCCGAACTCCAAGCGGATCTTTCTGGGCCAGGGACTGCCCTATCGGAGGGACAGCTCACGCCGCGGCAAACTCATCGTTGACTTTTCGATTGAGTTCCCGACAGAAAAATTGCAGGATAACGTCCTCGATTTGATACCTTCTGACTAACTTCCAATAGGTCCCAGCCTCATATCTTATGGGGAATGGACGTCGCTTTCAAGTACTTAGTCTTAAGCTTGTAATACCATTGAATTCCCAATAATAAAATAGCCAGAATCAGAGAAACAATAGATTTTTGAGCACCATATGTAATTTGTACTTGAACATATTTTTCATAGTTTTTTAAACATTTTAAACAGTTTTGAAAACTTTAGTATTAATTAGTGTTACTAAGTTGTTGCTCCTACCAACAAATTTTGGTTTTAAATATTTATATTATTTCAATTTGTATATATATTTAAAAAGGAACCCCAGTTTGAAGTAGGTCCAATGTTTATGCAGGGGCTATTTAAGATCCTTACAAAAAAAAAAAAACAAATAAATAAAAATATGTCGTAAGTGGGTCTCGAACACTGGACACAAAGTACCATAATCGAATACTGGTTTCCCTGAGGAACGCCTGCATTATTTTTCTGCGATTATTTTAAACTGCGGCTTTAATAAAGCACTCCAATGTAACTATTTTTTCTCAACTTCTCTGCCAATATCACCCACTGTCCACGGAGCTGTGAAAGCCGCTTTTATCCAGGTTGCTGTTGCTGCTTTTATGGCAGCAGATAGCTCGCATGTGTCACCCGGCTCGGCGCCCCCCTTGGATCCTCCTGCCACTTTGCATTGGCATTGGCAAGATCCTCGATCGAGTTGGACATTGGCATTGGTTCCGATCCGCTCCATTCCGTTCCGGGGCAGCGGCTTAGCCCCACTTAACCGGGCTCTTGGGGCGTTGCGGGTAATTGGATTGAGTTGGCTTTCCTGCACTGCCAAAATATCGCTTGAGTTCCTAAAAGATGGCCCCTGGGAACGGAACGCACTCACTCTCTCACTGGCCGAATTTCAGATTTTGAGATTTATTGGTGCACATCAATTAGCTGGCATTCAGGCGGGTGTTCGCATCGGATACGAATCTCAAAAACCGCCGGCAGCCAGAGCAAAGTGGCACAAATCATTGATAATACAGATCAATAACGACCTGCCGTCAATTAGTCACTCTTTGTCACCGTGACACACTGCATCGGAATCACGGAATCGGAATAGGAATCAGAATTCTTAACCAGTACCTCGGGCTTTTTTGCTTTTTTGCTGTTTACTATTTCGTCATTGTCTTGCCGGCCATTTATTGAAACATAAAGCGTATAACGCATTATGGGCATTTTTAAATGTCAGTCTGGGGGATTGGATATGGATCTGGTGTCTCGAAGTAGTACTCACCTGTATTTGGCTGAAAGTCGCACAGTTGCAGGTAACCGAGTGGCCGGCAATTGTCATTGTCGGTGTCGCTGTCACCGTGGATATGGGATATTGGATATTGCCGCCGTGTGACAGGCGGTCGAGATATAGAGACAGATTCCCGATGACACCAAGTCTCGCACAACCGCTCACGTGCGCCCCTTACCATCGCTCTTATATTTTTTAGTCCTCTGGCGGCGGCAGCGTGAAATATTTTGACAAATCGCAGGCCACTTAATCAAAAATCATCATCGGAAAGGGATCGATGTTTTGTATTGAGGTATCAGAGCGCATAAAGGACGAGCCGGCAGTGCCTGTGTGGGTTGAACAAGAGATTTCCGTCGAAGCCGATAAAAGGTTATGAAAGATAGCCCGCTGGGGTGAGTGCACTGAGGGGAAAGTATCAAGAAAAATAAAAAAATATCTAAATTTATAGAACTTTAATTTTTTTAAATCTTATTATAAAGATATACATAAACAGATACCCTCATCAAAATATTATTTAATGATTTATTAATTATGATATAATGATATACGATTTTTCAGTTTACAAAGTAAGATTTCTATAATCACAATAGAATAGAATACACAACATATCTGATTTTTTTATAATATTTTTCTAACGAAAACTTACCCAAATTAAGAACCACTATTTTCTCAGTGTGAATATAAAATTGGAAGCTCCCGAATGCCTGTGTCGCACTTGTCGCCTGTCTATAGAGGTGAAAATTATGAGTATGGGAAAGCCTCGCACACACACGTATTTTGTAATGACTGTTCATTTGTGTTAACACGTGATTAGACCTCGAATCCATCTTAATAATGAGCAACGTGACACTCGCAGGGGGTTAACGTCAGCGCTAACTATCCGGCTGTAAATTGGTGTGATAGCTAACCGATTGAAGTCGCGCGACTCTGACTGCCTCATCTTCGGCTTCCCCTCGGGGCGATCAGCCATATAAATTGCCAAACATTTATCAATAACGCGGGACGTGACCAATTAACCGATTCTCGAGTCAATAAAACGCAGCATTAAAAATGTTTGCCTAGAAGACAAGTCCTCAGGCAAACAAGATGAGACACATGTGATCCGATTCACCATCATCCTTCGATAATGATTGTTAAATAAACAAATTAAACCATTGAAAACATTGACATAAACAGGTGATAAATACATGAAAATCTGTTTTTACTGTGAAACAATAATTATAAATTTTTTACGAGCAGGTATACACTGAAAATGTAGTATAGTAGTTTCTGTTTAAAAATGAAAGCTGTTATGTTTAAACTTTTAAAAAAAATTTCAGGTTTTCTTTAAAAATTTTAGATTTTTATATGTTTGGAGAAATGCATAAAATCTATGTTGTACATATTTGATGCAGAAATAAAAAAATGAATTAATGTTAAATAATATTTCTCTAAAATTATGACCTAGGCTATATCCGCCTTGTTAAATGTATCCCAAATGCACGCACATTTGAATACTTATGATGTACCTGCTTATCGAGGTGCTCCAATTGATTGGGCTCGATTCGGATGGCATACTCCAGATGCTGCGAGATCGCAGAGAGCGAGTCCGTAATTAAAGTCGATCAGGAAACAAATGCTAAAATCACGCAACTCCGAGTGAGCTAAATGCAGCGGCAGCTGAAGGAGCACGAACTGCGAAAGGTCGATTGCGATTGCTTCATCCGACAGGCAGGTGATGAGCCGTCATGCGAGCCCCGTCTTATAGATACCGCATTAGAGCATCCATATATCGATGAGAACAGAGATCCCCACACCAATCCGTTGAATTGGGGATCTTGCCATCCCGATCCCGAAGATCGAACTTGCTGAGCGCGCACGCGATTGATTAAAAAACCACCGCGGAGCTCGAGTTTTGAAGTGTGGGCTAATTTTCGTAGACAGCGCACGCTGGACACGCGCATGATGCGTATCTGGGATCTTTTGGATTCCGACATCCCATCTATATGGTATCTGGCTCCTGGTGGCTTGTCGTGCGTCAAAAGCTGAAACTCACCTGTCTGTTCATTGGCATTTCCGCCGGCTATGCAACAAAAAAAAAACAAGAAGCCTAACGCACAAAAACCTCGAATGTTGCGTCATTATCGAAAACATTTTTTTCCAAAATTTATTCCATATTCACCGAGTCCTTGCCCACATTGCTCTAATTTTTTCCGCTGCTTATCGTCCTTTTTGTTTTAATCACCGAGTGCCTGGAACCTGGAACCTGGACCCTTTTTCACCTTGCCATGTTTTGATGAATTGATGATGGGGTCTGGTCTGTTGGAAAAACGCCTAGTGAACGGCGAACCCTTTTGGTTTTTCTTAATTTGGAATTTATTTAAATCCACAAAGGTCTATGGATGGGGATGGAAAGGGTGCAGTCACTCAGTCAGTCAGTCACATCAGAGGTGGTTCGTCGCCCCCGTTCCATTTTGGCAGGTGCAGTTCCAGTTGCAGCTCCAGATCCCCCGATCGGTAGCATCACGATGACCCTTCTGCACCGCCACTAATGCATAAATAACACGTTTGCTTCTCAGCCCTTTTTTTTTCTACCGATGCGGAGCTCCTGCCATTACAGCGGCCACTCACCGAAAATTTTAAAAGGCGTTTAGCTTGTTACCTTTTAATAATACCATTTAATTCCCCGTTGTGCGGCGTAGGCGCGGAACCATCAATCAGACCGTGCAGATAGCGCCGCAAATGGACACCGGACACAATTCTCGCACAGCCGCGCATTTCTCGGCCGGCAATTCATAATTTATTTGCGTTTTTGTCGATCACGTTGGCTTCATTTTTTACCCAGCCCCTTGCGGATGGACAGCTGAAGATACAAGGTTTGAGAAGAAGGCCAAGCCCCTCATCCTGCACATACGTACCACTAGTCTTCACTCCGTCTTCTCGGAAGATTTGAGTGCGAAGAATGTGCATGACTAGCCACGGATGACAATCTCTCAACAGCTTCATCAAACACCATTCTTTTTGAAATTTTAAAATTGAATAGTTAAATAAACCATTTGTAGATATAGCCATTATGATCCGTCTTTAAAGATTTGTGGGATTCTGATTTCATTGTCAAAACATTTTTCTTCCGGCTATAATCCCCTTTCAAAAGGACTTTATTTATTTATTAAAAAGTAGATTAACCAATTTCTAAAATTAGTTGATATCATTAAATATGATAGGTGGCTTAAATTGGCAGTGCAAGCAAATATATAAACAGCAGTTATACAAGTTTAAATTGGCAGATTAATAATCCATGGTCCCAGAACGTGGGCAGATTGAACATTTCCCATTAATGAAAACAACCTATGGGGGTGGCAAAAATAAAGCCAACATAATTATCGAATACTTTCAGCCCCATCAGCATGGCAGCAGAAATTCCAGTGGACATTGCAGTAGCAACATGAACATGGCCGACGGACGCACGCAAATGGGCGGCACCCGAATCCGCTCCTTACTCACCCAAAACCCACTCCGTACTCCCCGACCTCGTATATACAGTTCACCCCTCAAATATAAAATACAGTGGGGTGAGTGGGTGCTAAGTGGCTACTGGCCGGGCAGCCAGTCAGCCAGCCAGCCATCCATCCACTCATTCATCCACATCCACATCCATCCAGTGGGGGTGTCTATGGTCTGCTATTTTGACGTGGCTGGCAGGCCAGCTGGCCAGGCTAATTTACGAATAAATTATGTGACACTATGCGGGCGGAGTGGCTGCAATTCGACGGCCATTAAAATCGCCAATCACCGGTAGTCAATACCGGCTATTTGAGCTCGCAATCGGTGTTGTAGTGAAAGGCGGCGGGTGAGC